GTAAATTTAAAAATAGAAATAAAAGAACTAAAAGAGTATCAAAATCACCTTGGAGTTGTACTGAATTTTATGTAAATAAAGCCTCAGAACAAGAAAGAGGAGCTCTAAGATTAGTAATAAACTATAAACCTTTGAATAAAGTATTAAAATGGATTAGGTATCCTATACCTAATAAACAAGATTTAATTAAAAGATTAATTAATGCCAATATATTTTAAAAATTCGATATAAAATCAGGGTATTACCAAATATCTGTAAAAGAACAAGATAGATATAAAACAACTTTTATAGTACCATTTGGGCATTTTGAATGGAATGTAATGCCTCAAGGACTAAAAAATGCCCCAAGTGAATTTCAAAAAATTATAAACAATATATTTTATCCTTATATGAATTTTTCAATAGTTTATTTAGATGATGTATTAATTTTTTCAAAAGACATCAATCAACATATACAACACTTAAATAAATTCATAGAATTAATTAAACAAAATAGGTTATGTATATCAGATAAAAAAATAAAAAAATTTCAAGACAAAATAAGATTTAATATTTATCAAGGTACAATAACACCAATCCAAAGGTCTATAGAATTTGTTGACAAATTTCTGGACCAATTAAAGGACAAAACTCAATTACAAAGGTTTCTAAGATGTTTAAACTATGTAGCAGATTTTTTACCAAATATTAGAACCATATGTGCCCCTTTATATATTATTATTACTTGTCAGATCATCTTCTTCACTTCCAGTTGTACTCAAACTAGTTAGAAATCTTGCTTTTTGTTGTAAGAAGGCCTGCTTTTGTTTATCTTTTATTACATTCTCACTTAGAGGGGGATGTTGGATATTATTTTGTACCCATTGCATAATTTTTTTGGTGGTAAGTAAATTCAAGTCAAAATTGATCCACCATTTAACTTTTATGGTCCTGATTAATATCTGTATTGATGAATCATATTCCAATTTGACAGAATTATATTGCCACATCATAATCCATAAAATGCCTTGCGAGACTATAAAGGAAATAAATTTATATGGTTCTTGAAAATTGATTTTTTCTTTAAAGTGTGTTAAGGCAATTTAAGCTCTTTCTGGTAGGATCTGACTAACTGGTCCAAAATTATAGAGCCAGGCTGAGAACCATTTGGAAAAATATAGAGAAATTCCCTTCCTGAACCAAATGAACCAAGAATAGGTATCTGGTCGAAAAAATAAAAACTTCTCCCATGCTCTTATATAATCAAAAGAATTATATTGTGAAAACTAATATTCTATTGTAAATTTTCGATAACAATATAAATGTTGTCCCCACTCTTTTGAAGTGAGTATCTAACATATTTTGAATTTTGAAAAAATGATTTCTTTTTTCTCATTTTTCTTGTGGCTTAATTCTATTGATTTTGAATCAATAAGAATTAACTCATAAAATTCGCTTTTTTGTTCTGATGATGATGGAACCACATGACAATCTTGAGGAAAAACTCTTTTTGCTATTTCAGAACGGTTTAATTTAAACCATTATGCGTCTATTTCCATTATTGGAAGACCATATGATTTTTCAAAGTATTTTGGGGTCTTATCAGTTATTGTGGGCTTTTTGTAAGCAGATTCTGCCCATAATGGTAATTTTCTAGTTTGGGTAGTAACTGTTTGAGAGTTTTGGTTTGGTTTAGCTAAAACTATGTACTTTTTAGTTAACTCTGGTGGTTGGATTTGAGCTTTATTTTGTAATACTTGTAAACAAGTCATTGGCTTTTTACCTTTATCTTTAGTAGGAGTCTTTGGTATTTCTGGTTCACTCTTTTTTGGTAGGGTATAGTCGGCACTGGTCATTTTTGACATTTTTCTTGTAAAAATTCTCTTGTTAAATAATCGGGTAAAAAGTTCTTTCCTCCTTTGATGTGTTGTATCTTGAAATCAAAATTGGATAATAATGCTTGCCATCTGGCGAAAATATGTTTTGAAACTAAGTTCTGAACATCTTTCTGTAAAATAGAAGGTGCTGCTTTACAATCAGTTCTTACTAAAAATATTTTGTTAAATAGATCATCTTGAAATTTTTGGATGCATAAAACAATGCTCAACATTTCTTTTTTTACAGTAGAATATTTTTGTTGTGCAGGATGCCATATTCCTGAGTAATATCTTATAACTTAGTCTATTGTAGACTCTGGTAATTTTTGTTTAAGAATTCCTCCATAACCTAGATCTGAAGCATCAGTTTCTACAATCAAATAGGCGGAAGGATCTGGAATTCCTAAATAAGGAAGACTTTTAACTAATATTTTTACTTGTTGTACTACTTTAGTCATTTCTTCATCCCATGGCTGGGGATTCTTCCTAAGACGTTTATATAAAGGAGCACATATGGTTCTAATATTTGGTAAAAAGTCTGCTACATAGTTTAAACATCCTAAAAACCTTTGTAATTGAGTTTTGTCCTTTAATTGGTCCAGAAATTTGTCAGCAAATTCTATAAATCTTTGGATTGGTGTTATTGTACCTTGATAAATATTAAATCTTATTTTGTCTTGAATTTTTTTTTATTTTTTTAGCTGATATACATAACCCATTTTGTTTAATTAATTCTATGAATTTATTTAAGTGTTGTATATGTTGATTAATGCCTTTTGAAAAAATTAATACATCATCTAAATAAACTATTGAAAAATTCATATAAAGATAAAATATATTGTTCATGATTTCTTGAAATTCACTTGGGGCATTTTTTAGTCCTTGAGGCATTACATTCCATTCAAAATGCCCAAATGGTACTACAAAAGCTATTTTATATCTATCTTGTTCTTTTACAGATGTTTGGTAATACTCTGATTTTATATCAAATTTTGAAAATATATTGACATTAATTAATTTTTTAATTAAATCTTGTTTATTAGGTATAGGATACCTAATCCACTTTAATACTTCATTCAAAGGTTTGTAGTTTATTACTAATCTTGGAGCTCCTCTTTCTTGTTCTGAGGCTTTATTTACATAAAACCCAGTACAACTCCAAGGTGATTTTGAAGATCTAATTAAACCTTTTTCCAAATATTCTTGTAACTTTTGTTTATAGAATTTTAGCTATTTCTCATTCATTTGTATGGGTCTAGCTTTTGTGGGTATATTTGTTTCATCGAATCCTTCTTCATATGGTAACTTTATTTCATATTTTTTGCTATGGTGAAAGGCTATAGGATTTAAATTACAAATTTCTTTGGTAATTCTTTTTTCAAAATCCTGAATGATTTTTTTAATATTTTTATTTTTCAGTTGTTCTTCAATTCTTTTATATTCTATTTCTTTATTTATAAAATTAATTTACCTTGTCTTTCTTTTTATTATATTTAATTTTGTTATTGATGCTTCTTGTACTAGGTTCAATTCCCTAATCTTTGGAAGTTGTAAGAATTCAAATTTATTTCTCTATTTGGTATTACCTTACTAGTAATTTCGGTGTTGTTAATTTCACAAGGATATAATAATGTTAGAAAGAGGGTTCCTAATATTATTTTGTTTCCTATATCTTTTACTAATATAAATGATGTGGTAAAACATATTTTATTTTTACAAATTTTTCCTTTTAATAATTTGTAATTTATTTTAAGCTTATTTTCTCCTGCAGCTGATAATTGTTCTGTAATTTTTTCATAATATTTTGTAAGAATTATTCCTTCTTATATACAATTAACGTCTGCTCCTAAGTCTATTAGAGCTATTAGATTAAATTTTTCTTGTTCTACAATTAGTGTTATTTCACACCAACATTTGTGTGAAGTTATCAGTGTTAATAATTCTAAATTAAATATATCTGATTGTTCTTCTATTTTTGTTCCTGATGTACTAGTTTGATTTTCTTATAATTTAAGAATCTCTTTGCCTTCTAGAGATAGTAATCTAATTTCTAAGTCTTTTTTATACTCTTTTAGTTCTTTTATTTCTGTTTTTAAATTTACTATTTCTTTTTGTAAATCTTTTATAGTTGTTTGTTGACTTGGGATTCAAAATCTTTCAAAGACTTCTGTCATCTCTATAGGCTTACTTACCACTTCTTTTGGTTCTTCTCTAGTTACAAATTCATTAAGTTTTTTTAATAAATTCTACTTTTAAATGTCCTTCTTCAAAGCTTTCTATTATTGTTATTAAGGCCTTAGTCTGATCCCTAGTTATAGTATTGATTTTTAGATTTTTACAATCATCACAATTATATAATCCTAGTCCTAAACAGAAATTTTGTTCTTATTCAGATTCCTCTGAAGTATTGTCTAGTTGATAAATTTTATTTTCCTGTGCATTTTCATTTTCATATTCTTCATCTAGAAATTCTGGTTCTGGTTCAGAATTTATTAAAATTGTATGAAGAACTTGTTTGAGTTCTTCGTTTTCAATAGAGTTGATTTTCTTTTCTATTCTACATTTTCTACTTGTATTTTTATTTGTTCTAAAGAAGAATATTCAGCTTCTATTGCATATGTTTTTAATTTTTTGTAAAGGATTTATCTCTTTATTAAATAGATAATTTATATTTTTTGAATATAATATTTTTTCATCCATGGGAAAAAAAATAAGTATTTATTTGTATTTCTTCTAAATATTTATAAAATTTTTCTCTGATTTTTGTCCTTTGTTGTTGACTAAATGTTTCTATTAACCAAATTTTTCTATCTATATTGTGTTCTCCATCTATATCTTCTTTAATCCATTTTTTATCTACAGTAAAAGGTTCAATTTTTTCTATTGTATTTAAAACTTGAGAAAGTGTTAGACTATAATTTATTTCAGAATTTTGGTCATAAATGGAATAGAAACTTCTGGTATAGTTATATTGTCTATTTTAGTTAGATCTATATCTACTGTTGATCTGCTAATAGAATGGCTTGAGAATTCTCTAATAATGGATGGTTGTGTTATACGAATCGATCTAGACCTATATATATATATATATATATATATATATATATAATTTAAATAAAAAATAAAAGTGGGCTTTCATGAAAGCAAAAAGGAGTACTTTTAGATAAAATAACAAATAAAAACCACTTTTACCAAAGATAATTGACTCCTCGAATTTTATAGGAAATTCTAAAGACAACATCGAAAGGGAAAAATGTTAAATACTTTGTGTCACATCCATAAACACAATTTGTCAGACTAGTGTCGATAACCCAGGGGTAGAACAAGCTCATATAAAAATATCATTTGCTTAAAGAGAAACAACAAACTGTTCTGTCAGCAACTGAGGCTAGGCTAGTTCTTTGGCCCAATATCCTTCAGGGCACATATCTGCTCCTCACCCATTGCAGACATCACAGACACAACAAGGTCCTTACCCTCAGCAAATCCATCCTTTATCTGCAGTGCCCAATAAATGACGCATACACAGTCAGAATAATAAAAACAATCAGTAAACAGGTCAGTATGATATGTGAATTACAAGGAGTTTTAGTACAGACAAGGATCTAAACTATCAGGCTGTGAATGTATCAGACAAAACAGTCCTCAGCTTGTTTTCTTAAAGTTACAAAATTAATTCTCGCATTTTTTTTTAATGAAAAACACCATTCTAAACAGGCACATTAAAATTTCCACTAACCTGGGTAAGCAGATTCTCGTCAGTTGGAAGCCTCAGGTCATCCTTGGTGTTCCCGTTTTCAGTAAGCAGGCTTACCTATAATATCATTCAAGTATAAATTCAGACAGTTAAGCCAAGATCAGATCATTGTCTGTTTTCATTCTCAACTACAAAATCAATCTCATGTTATTTTAACAGCTTCTTAAATATAATAATATCTGGAGATAAAGTAAAATTTTAGTAAAAGTTTAGTTTTGTTCTGCTGTCAATTATTAGATATCACCTAAATATAACTTTTAAAATAATTATTACAAAAGTTTATAATTTTTAATCATATCATGATTAAACAGAGAGTAGAAAAAACATTTACATAGTCTGTATATTTCAGTCAATTCAAACAAATCTTTAAAACAAAAAACAAATTAAAAATAAGGTAGAATTTTATAATTATTTATGAAAATAAAAAAACAAAAGAACAGAAAACCCAAGTGGGTGAAACAAAGGAATAGGAACTCACAAATCCATCCTCAGAAATATCAATCAACTGGTAATCAGTACGATTCACGTGGGGAACCTGGAATGAAAAAAAGAGTTTAGTACAGCGAAGTATCATAAAAGAAAAGAAGATGAAACATACATCACAGTTGTGGGAAGAGGGAACAATATCTTCAAGCTTCTTGGCAGTGAAAATATCAATTCCAACAAAGTGGCACTTAGCATGACCGTGCTTCCCAGTCTTCGAAGTCGATACTTCAACAACCTGTGACACACACGCAAATACCAAATTATCAAAATCAAAAGCAAGAACAAGGAAGCGATGGATCTCGAGGGCCAAATGAAGCAATAATTAAAAATGATTTGGAATGAAAGGAAAGGATAAAACGACCAAGGTTGGTGAAAAACGACAAAGCGGAATAGAAAGAAAGAAAGAAGACCTTGCAGGGACGAGCCTTTATGACGATGTAACCGTTTTTGCGAATGGTGCCAGCTTGCTGAGGATAGGTTTTGGAGGCTCCTGCATCGGCTTTTGATTCGAAGTGGTGCTCTTCGTCTGACATGACTCGCTCACCGATTCAACTCAGTGCCTGCTTCAGAGGGAGAGGGAGAGGGAGAAATTGACAATACCAACACCACCCTCACTCCCTCACCGTTATATCCCCTCTCTCTCTCTCTTCTTTTCCCTTTTCACTAAATTCCCGGCCTCTTTATTATTAATATTATTCCAATTTATCTATTTTTCTGTTCATTCGTTCCTATAAAATGTTTTTTATTTTTAAATTTTTATTTATTCAAAGTTATTAATTAATAATGAATATATTAATATTAAAAACATATAAATCAAGACAGAATATCACTTTATATTTTTTATTCAATATAATTATTACTATATATATATATATATATATATAAATGTATATTAACATATATAATAAAAATTAATAAATAAATTATATTAAAAATATTTACGTTACTATTTTTATTTTATTTTTTTAAAATAATCTTAATCTAAAGACTAAAATAAAAATTTAATAAAATCAGATATTACTCTGTAATAAGCATTTATATTTTATAGTTTCTGATGGACTTTATATTTTTAGTTTTATGCTTTACAATTTATTAAGTTAGTAAAAAAAGACTAACATCGTATTTTTCAATCATATTGTTTAAAATTTATGTATTATTAACTAAAATTTATTAAACTTACCCAATGATATAACTCTTATTCTTTATTTAATAATTTGGTTCATATTAATAATCTTTAATAAATTTAAATTGTTGTGTGTAGTAGTTTTTTTATTCAATGTATTTAGTATTTAAAAGAAAAGTGTTAAGAGACGAAGAGAATATCATGTGGCAAGTCCTATAAGTTTACCTACGGTACGTGTCTGGGATTATTTTCTATTTTTTGCCATTACATATCTCTCGCGAATCTTGCTGTGGGCCCACCGTTCGCTATTTCATTGACCAAAATTACCTGCGTCCGATGCACGCAAATCATGGGCCTACACTTTCGACCCAAAAACGACACGAAGAATGTCATCATAAGCGAACCATCTTAATGCCGAAAGAGTTCTAAAAAGATTAATGTGTGTTTTTCTGTTTTTAAAAAATATTTTTTAAAATAAAATTTATTTATAAATATAATTATTTATTTTCATTTTAAAAAATTAAAATTATTTTAAAATATAATTTTTAAAAATTAAAATATAAACAAACAAGTCTTTATTCTTGCTGTACTTGTTGGTAAATGTTTAACTAGTGATGATATGCACGGCATGAATATTTTTTAAAATTAATTAATAATAAAATAAAAAATTTAAAGTAAGAATATTGTTAGTACAAAATTAATATTCTATAATTTTTTAAATTCATTTCCTAATACTAATATTAATAATGATAAATCAGAAATAGATTATAAAATACGAGGATTTATTTAAGTTTTTCAAAAATTTTAAGTAAAGAATATTAATTTTTTTATATTTGATATGGATATATATATATATATATATATATATATATTATATTTTCAGTATTTTGTTTTTAGTTAAGTTCTTAAATTTATATATTTTTATATTCAAAAGGATTAAAAAGTCTAACTAAGATCGAGGTTCTAATTTAGAGAATTAAACACTTAAAGAATCTATATAAAAGATAGGAAGAGGAGAAACAATACAAGAGAAAAGCAAAAAACCCTCAAGGCTTAATTTTGCTAAGTAGTCAATGCTTTGATTAGTTTCTCTATACAAATGCCTAAATTTAACAAATTGAATTTGTCTAATGACCTTTCTAATCCTACTAATCAAATAAGAAAGAGAATGAGTAGAGCTATGCACGTTAAGGATAAGAGATAAAACTTCTAGAATCATTTCTAGTCTAGATAATCTCCAGTCCTTTTTAAATAGTGAATTCTAGTCCAAATAAGATACTCTATAGCTTAGTAGCTAATGGAGAATAGAGAAAAATATTGTTGCAGAAACTAACTAAAAAGTGGCCTTAAAAATAATTTTAAAAATTTAACATTCTCAAAATTTTATCCTATTTTCATATATTTAATATTTCTATTACTAACTTTTTATAATAACAAAATTTTTCAAGTCATTATAATTAATATTTTATAATTTTAACTACTCATATTAGTCAAATTAAAAGAAGATGTTATTTGTCACTATCACTACCATCACCATTATTATTATTTGATGAATTTAACTTTTTTTATACACATGTGCACAATTCTTATATTGTAAATGATTTATAATAAATTTAAAAATATTCAATTTTGATATAATTTTTTAAATTATTTAAAAAACACAAAAAATTTAGTTAATAGTATAAATAAAATTTATCAATGATTATAGAAAGTAAAAAATATTTTTAAAATATTTTTTGAAAATTATTAATATTTTAAAAAATAATATTTAAACCAAACACTTGCGATATTAAAACATTATATAACATTTTAAAGAATATTTAAAACAAAAAATATATTTTTAACATTCTCAAAAAATAAAATTCCAAGAAAAAATAGAAAACATAATTCTTGAAAATAGAAAAAATTCGTATATCAAACACTCTTTAAATTCTAATTACAATGCGTAGAAAGTAAATTATGAATAATAGATAGTAATTAGTGATAAAAATGAAAATCTTTTATGAAAAGTATAATAATATATTTCTCTCATGATTTTTAATATAATTTTAATATAAATTTTAGAAATTATTTATTATATTTTATCATATCAAGTGATTTTTAAATTTATATTAATTTAAATTTTATTTTTACTTTTATTTAATATAATAAAACATTTATTAATAATATTTACCCTTTTAAAAATATAAACTTATTAAATTAAAAAATATCCTTATAATAATTTTTTAATTATTTATCTAAAAATAATTTAATTTTATAATACTCGTGCAAGAACACAAAAATCACTAATAAATTTTAATTATGTATAGATAGAACCCATTTGTAATCAATTTTTTATTAAATTATTACATAATAACTCAGCCCTATCCAACTAGCAACACTAGTTATCTACAGACTAAGTTATTTTGCATATTTTAAAAGTATTAAGAATCAAAAGATACATTTTTAAACATTAAACACTAAATTACACATGATTATCTTGTATCTATTAAGTCACTGATTCAAATTTCCAACAACTTCGTAGTTACTTTTTTTTAGGTCAATAACTCTTTTTTTTTTTTTTTGGCTAATCAAAAGAGCTAAAAGCCCAAAAAACCACAAAACAGATAGAGACCCAAACTTGCGGTCCAAATGTCTAAGAAATCAAGGCAAAGAAAAGGAATGAGGGAAGAGGGAGTTAAATCAATACAAGAGGAAGACAGTAAATCATCTAAGCCTAACTTAGCTAAATGATCAGCATAAGAATTAGCTTCCCTATAACTATGCATAAACCTAACAAATTGAATAGGTTTTACAATATTCCTAATTCTAGCAATTAGGTCATATAAGGGGTGGATTTTTGTTTGAATATTAAGAATAAGTGATAGGACTTCTTTGACATCACTTTTTATCCAAATGGTGGATCCAGCCCCAACAAAATGCTCCATAACTCAGTTTCTATAGGGGAGCAAGGATCCAATTTTTGGCAAAAACCAGCAATAAAATGGCCTTTATAATCTATGATTTAACCCCCACAAGCTGCAGTCCTAGTAACCTTGGACACAGCTCTATCAACATTAAGCTTCCATTGGTTAGCAGGAGGAGGGACCCATTTGGTTTGAGCATGGTCTTTAACTTGTTTCATGAATGATCCAGATAGAAAACCGCAGCTACCAAAGAAGGCATGAAAATCAAAGAAAATGTTCTAAATGAGGGCAGGTAGCTGGACAAAATAATTTTTAAAAATAAAATTATTTCTCTCCTTCCACAAATGCCAAACAATAATACCAAATAAGTTACTCCAATTGGAAAACTTACTAAACTGCTTATTTGATAGATTAAGCAATAACCAGTCATATATACAACTACTAAAGAAAAAAACTCATTGCTCAAGAAAAATGAAATATTCTCAAACATCTTTGGCAAAAATACAATCTCTAATCACATGGATAACAAATTCCTCATCCTCATATCTGGTACATAGAGAAGAATGAAGACATACCTTGATGACATCTTTCAAGATTTGTAAATAGTTTATTGTGAGCAAATTTTCACAGAAAATTTCTAATTTTGGGCTGGCCTTCCCACTTCCAAATTGCATTAAACAAGTTGTGACATCCACCAGAAACAGTATTAGAATAGTATAACAAAGACTAAGTTGATTTTAGGGAAAACATACCATTGTTGGTTATATTCCAAAACATAGAATCAGGTCCTTTAGAAGATGAAGGAGATTTAATTCTAGTCATAGCATTACGAACCTGATCAGGAAAGATCTCGACAATTTTCTCCTAGTCCTAGACCCCATATTTGGAAACCAAACAAATTGGTATATCCTGATCTAGAGTAGAAAGAGGGACAAGGCTATAAGAAGACAAAACACCCACCTCATGACACCAATTGTCAGACCAAAACTTAACCTTCCTCCCATCCTCAATATGCCAACTAGATCCTTGAGAAAAAGTATGCCAAATAGAAGATAAACTTGCTCCATAAATGAGAAGCTTCAGAGCAATTTATGGTTAGAGGATTCTGACTAACTTGAAACTTGTATTTTGAACAAAGGACCTAAACCCACAAAGCTGAAGGAGAATTTAAGAACCTTCACAAAATTTTTAGTAAATATGCTTTATTTAATAGGTGCAGATCTTTTAACCATAGACCTTTTTCAGATTTAGGTTTACAAATTATGCTCCAACCAACAAGGTGGCACTTCCCAGCCCCTAAGGATCTCTAAATAAAGTGTTTACAAATTTTGTTAACTTCCTAACACACAACAGAGGGAATTAATTGAGTTTGCATAGCATAAACTAGGATGTTCATAAGGCAAGATTGAACCAAGATAACCCTTCCTACCATAGAAAGGGAATTCATTTTTCAGATGGATAATTTTTTCCTAATTTTATCTAAAAGATATGAATAATGGCTCTTAAAGGGTCTGAGATGATGGATAGGAATACCAAGGTATCAACCTATCTTATTAGCAACAGGGATTCCTAGACTACTACTAATTGACTGATTAAGAATAGGGTCATT